GATGCGATGACGATGTAGGTGTCATTGCATTTTAATGCTTTAGTTAGCCTATCCAGTTAAAGCCACTAGATGCGGCGCTGCTCATTCAAACTACTGCGGAAAAAGAGAACATCAATGCGGAGAAGATCTACGGCAAAACTGAAACTAAGCCGTTCACACAGAACGCATATGTGTCCCTGCAGCACAAAAGCAGTCTTAAGTCGCTGGGGTATATTTGTAGCAATAGCCAACAATACATTGTATGGGTCAAAATTATAGATTTATCTTTTATGCCAAAAATCATTAGGATATTAAGTAAAGATCATGTTCCATGAAGATATTTTGTAAATGTCCTACCGTAAATATATCAAAACTTAATTTTTGATTAGTAATATGCATTGCTAAGAACTTCATTTGAACAACTTTAAAGATGATTTTCTCAATATTTAGATTTTTTTGCACCCTCAGATTCCAGATTTTCAAATAGTTGTATCTCAGCCAAATATTGTCCTATCCTAACAAACCAGATGATGTATAAATCTCAATAAAAAAAAAATGGACCCTTATGACTGTTTTTTTTTTATTGCACATTTTATTGCTTTGAAGAAGCGTGCATTAGTAATATTTTGCTCGATGCGCCCTCTTGTGGCCTCAGGAGAGAAGCCAAAAGCTTTTTTCCCTCCTAACTGAAATTGCCTTTTAAATTCGAATATAATTTGAATATTGATAATATTTAAGTACAAAATTCGAGTTTAGTTTTTATTTAATAATACAAGTTAATAATTTTAGTGCTTCAAGTTTTTAAATATGACTGTTTAGGTTTCCATTAATTGTGTTTTTCAGATTTGGTCTGTTTTAATTCAGTATTACTTTTTATTAGATTTTTTTTAGTTGTAGTTTTTATTAGTTTTTTTATTCTATAGCTAGTAATTTTATTGCTTTAGCTTTTTTACATATGACAATTTAAGTTTAATTTCAGCTTTAGTTTGTTTTAGTTCAGTTTTAGATTGTATTCATTTCCATTTAATAATTTTAGTGCTTCAACTTTTTAGGTTTCATTTCACTTTTAATCTGTTTTAGTTCTGTTGTATTTTTTTTTTTTTTACAGTTAGCAATTTTAGTGCTTAAGCTTTTAAAAAAAAAAAAGACTATATAAGTTTAATTTAATTGCAGCTTTAGTTGTTTATTTCCAGTTAGTAATTTTAGTGCTTCAACTTAAACTTATTTAGTTGCCAAGGCAGCATTTCAGTTAATTCAGTTAATTTTCATCTAAAGTTATTTATAATGACGACAGACCAACACAATAGTTTTTTTTAGCCATTTTGACAGCCCTGCTGCAGACACGTTATTATGAGCGTGTCTAAAACGCGTCACAAGAACGCGTGCTGATGTCTGTGTTCCCGCAGGAGCTCATGCAGCAGAACGACATCGCTTACGTGCTCAACGCTAGCAACACCTGCCCCAAACCAGACTTCATCCCCGACTCACATTTCTTGCGCGTTCCTGTCAACGACAGCTTCTGCGAGAAGATCCTGCCCTGGCTGGACCGATCCGTGGAGTTCATAGGTCAGACACCATCATATATGTATGCGGGTCAAAGACGTTAAGATATCCGCATGAAAAGAAATTTACAAAAGTGATTTTATGTCCATAGAAAGCACATTAAATGTAAGTAAAGTGTCTAATTTTAAGTTTTTGGAGAATAAAATGTCAAAATTTGGTACAATGACATGAAATGGAAAACTTTAAAATTTTTTTTTTTTTTTTTTGGAAAACAACAACAATTTAAAGCAGTGTTGTTGTCTTTGACCCATGCATCTTTGGGATTTTTAATTTTTTAATTTTTTAATGGCCATGGAAGTTCAGGAAAAGTCTGAGCGTTTTGGTTTAATATAATCAATCCAAAAAAAAAAACCTTCTTAAAGAGATATTGTTTTCCATCACATATATATTATTTAATATAGCAAACCATTCTTCAGCTGTGGCTCTGGTTTTAACCATTTCTTTTTAATTACTTTTTTACTAGCTGCCAGAAAAATGAGTTTCTTGTTCCACCCACGTCTTTAGAGTTTCTAATAATATTTTTAATTCTTATTTTCAGTTTTCATTTTATTTAATTTTTTCGTTATTTATGTTATGTACTTTAATCATTTTTCTTCATTTATTTTTTTAAATATTCACTATATTTACAATTTTTGTTGTTTGTTTGTACAATGTTTTAGTTCATTTTTTTGTTTTCGTTCATATTTCATATTTAGTTTTTATTTAATCCCAATTAATAATTTTAAATTAATAATTAATACATTAATAATTTTTACATTTTTGTTTCATTTCATTTTATTTTTCAGTTTCAGTTGTTATTTATTTATTTATTTATTTTTTATTTGACAGTTTTTTATTTTATTTTAAATATTACTATTTATGTTTAATTTAATTTCAGTTTTATTAAGTTTTAGTTTTTATTTAATACCAGTTAATAATTGTAGTGCTTCTGCTTTTTTAAAAATTACTCTTTAGGCTTAATTTATTTTTATTTGTTTCCATTTTAGTTAACATTATTTCCAGTTTCACAGGTTTCATAGACACAATCAGACATGCTCATGTGACTGTAGAAGTAATAATGAGGGTCATGTTGAGAGTGGGAGGTCAGCTGACAGGAAGTGTTTTTGTGTGTTTCCTGTCAGAGAAAGCCAAGGCCAGTAACGCCAGAGTCCTGGTCCACTGTCTGGCGGGAATCTCTCGCTCGGCCACCATCGCCATCGCCTACATCATGAAGAGGATGGACATGTCGTTAGATGAAGCGTACAGGTACTACAGCAGATTCTGTGAGCCTTAATTCATCTGTGTTAATTAAAGGGTGAATCTCAAACACGCCCAGCTCATATTTCAGTATCAGATCAACAGAATCTTCCTCGTATTGTGATATTATTATTATTATTATTATTATTTTGATGACAGTTCAACACATTCTGACTACTGTCATGCACAAAATTTTACTTACACATGACGGTACTTGTTGAGCTGAAATTAATTTGTAGATATCTTGCAATTCTGACTTTCTCGCAATTTTGACTTTTTTCTCGTAATTGTGAGTTTATATTTTGCAATTCAGATTTTCTTGTAATTATGAGTTTATAACTTGCAATTCTCACTTTTTTCTTGCAATTTTGACTTTTTTCTCATAATTGCGAGTTTATATCTTGCAATTCGGACTTTCTTGTAATTGTGAGTTTATAACTTACAAATTCTGACTTTTTCTCGCAATTTTGACTTCTCGTAATTGTAAGTTTATATCTTGCAATTTTAACTTTTTCTCATAATTGCGAGTTTATATCTTGCAATTCAGATTTTTCTCGCAATTTTGACTTCTCATAATCGCGAGTTTATATCTTGCAATTCTGATTTTGTTTCTCGTAATTGTAAGTTTATATCTTGCAATTTTGACTTTCTTACAATACTGACTTTTTATCGCAAGTCTGACTTTTTTTCTCGCACTTGCGAGTTTAAATCTTGCAATTCTGACTTTTTCTCGTCACAATAGTAATTGTGAGTTTATAACTTACAAATTCTGACTTTTTTCTTGCAATTCTGACTTTTTCTCACAATTTTGTTTCTCATAATTGCGAGTTTATGTCTTACAATTGCGAGAAAAAAGTCAGAATTGTGAGAAACTCAAAATTGCGAGTATATATCTTGCAATTCTGACTTTTTATCGCAAGTCTGACTTTTTTTCTCGCACTTTCGAGTTTATATCTTGCAGTTCTGACTTTCTCGCACTTGCGAGTTTATATCTTGCAATTCTGACTTTCTCGTACTTGCGAGTTTATATCTTGCAATTCTGACTTTCTCGTACTTGCGAGTTTATATCTTGCAATTCTGACTTTCTCGTACTTGCGAGTTTATATCTTGCAATTCTGACTTTCTCGTACTTGCGAGTTTATATCTTGCAATTCTGACTTTCTCGTACTTGCGAGTTTATATCTTGCAATTCTGACTTTCTCGTACTTGCGAGTTTATATCTTGCAATTCTGACTTTCTCGTACTTGCGAGTTTATATCTTGCAATTCTGACTTTCTCGTACTTGCGAGTTTATATCTTGCAATTCTGACTTTCTCGTACTTGCGAGTTTATATCTTGCAATTCTGACTTTCTCGTACTTGCGAGTTTATATCTTGCAATTCTGACTTTCTCGTACTTGCGAGTTTATATCTTGCAATTCTGACTTTCTCGTACTTGCGAGTTTATATCTTGCAATTCTGACTTTCTCGTACTTGCGAGTTTATATCTTGCAATTCTGACTTTCTCGTACTTGCGAGTTTATATCTTGCAATTCTGACTTTCTCGTACTTGCGAGTTTATATCTTGCAATTCTGACTTTCTCGTACTTGCGAGTTTATATCTTGCAATTCTGACTTTCTCGTACTTGCGAGTTTATATCTTGCAATTCTGACTTTCTCGTACTTGCGAGTTTATATCTTGCAATTCTGACTTTCTCGTACTTGCGAGTTTATATCTTGCAATTCTGACTTTCTCGTACTTGCGAGTTTATATCTTGCAATTCTGACTTTCTCGTACTTGCGAGTTTATATCTTGCAATTCTGACTTTCTCGTACTTGCGAGTTTATATCTTGCAATTCTGACTTTCTCGTACTTGCGAGTTTATATCTTGCAATTCTGACTTTCTCGTACTTGCGAGTTTATATCTTGCAATTCTGACTTTCTCGTACTTGCGAGTTTATATCTTGCAATTCTGACTTTCTCGTACTTGCGAGTTTATATCTTGCAATTCTGACTTTCTCGTACTTGCGAGTTTATATCTTGCAATTCTGACTTTCTCGTACTTGCGAGTTTATATCTTGCAATTCTGACTTTCTCGTACTTGCGAGTTTATATCTTGCAATTCTGACTTTCTCGTACTTGCGAGTTTATATCTTGCAATTCTGACTTTCTCGTACTTGCGAGTTTATATCTTGCAATTCTGACTTTCTCGTACTTGCGAGTTTATATCTTGCAATTCTGACTTTCTCGTACTTGCGAGTTTATATCTTGCAATTCTGACTTTCTCGTACTTGCGAGTTTATATCTTGCAATTCTGACTTTCTCGTACTTGCGAGTTTATATCTTGCAATTCTGACTTTCTCGTACTTGCGAGTTTATATCTTGCAATTCTGACTTTCTCGTACTTGCGAGTTTATATCTTGCAATTCTGACTTTCTCGTACTTGCGAGTTTATATCTTGCAATTCTGACTTTCTCGTACTTGCGAGTTTATATCTTGCAATTCTGACTTTCTCGTACTTGCGAGTTTATATCTTGCAATTCTGACTTTCTCGTACTTGCGAGTTTATATCTTGCAATTCTGACTTTCTCGTACTTGCGAGTTTATATCTTGCAATTCTGACTTTCTCGTACTTGCGAGTTTATATCTTGCAATTCTGACTTTCTCGTACTTGCGAGTTTATATCTTGCAATTCTGACTTTCTCGTACTTGCGAGTTTATATCTTGCAATTCTGACTTTCTCGTACTTGCGAGTTTATATCTTGCAATTCTGACTTTCTCGTACTTGCGAGTTTATATCTTGCAATTCTGACTTTCTCGTACTTGCGAGTTTATATCTTGCAATTCTGACTTTCTCGTACTTGCGAGTTTATATCTTGCAATTCTGACTTTCTCGTACTTGCGAGTTTATATCTTGCAATTCTGACTTTCTCGTACTTGCGAGTTTATATCTTGCAATTCTGACTTTCTCGTACTTGCGAGTTTATATCTTGCAATTCTGACTTTCTCGTACTTGCGAGTTTATATCTTGCAATTCTGACTTTTTCTCGCACTTGCGAGTTTATATCTTGCAATTCTGACTTTTTTTTCTCGTAATTGTAAGTTTAAATCTTGCAATTCTGACTTTTTCTCGTCACCAATAGTAATTGTGAGTTTATAACTTACAAATTCTGACTTTTTTCTTGCAATTCTGACTTTTCTCGCAATTTTGACTTCTCATAATTGCGAGTTTATATCTTGCAATTTTGAGTTTCTCACAATTGTGACTTTTTCTCGCACTTTCGAGTTTATATTTTGCAATTCTGACTTTTTTTTCTCGTAATTGTAAGTTTATATCTTGCAATTCTGACTTTTTCTCGTCACAATAGTAATTGTGAGTTTATAACTTGCAAATTCTGATTTTTTTCTTGCAATTCTGACTTCGCAGTTCTAATGACATTTTTTAGAATTGTGAGATAAAAACTTTCAATTATCGATCGATCTCAAATCTGTGTCCGTTCGCAGGTTCGTGAAGGAGAAGCGTCCGACCATCTCGCCCAACTTCAACTTCCTAGGTCAGCTGCTGGACTTCGAGAAGAAACTAAAAAGCACGAGCGCCGCGCCGCTCAAACCCCGACCGCCGGCAGACGAGCAGAAGCCGGAGCCGCTGACGATGCCCTGCGTTCTGGCCGGCGTCCCCGAGGAGCATCTTCTGGCCCGGGCGCTCTGCGGCCTTCAGCTCGGCGAGGAGCCGCAGGAGAACGTCCGGCCCAAACGGTCCTTCTCCCTGGACATCAAGTCGTACGGCGAGTCCGGAGCGTCTCTGCGAGCGTTTCCCGTCGGTGAGCCCTGCCAGTTCTCGCCGGTGCAGGAGGTTTCGGAGCAAAGTCCGGCTGAAGATAATAATAAGACGCTCCAGCGCAGCGGCAGCATGGATGGAGCTCCGTCTAAAACAGCTAAAGCACTTAAAGGCTGGCACTCAGACATCGTCCTCGGACCCGTAACCGGAGGCTGGTTCCTCTCCTCCGAGTCGGCGCGCTTTTACGGCTGCGCTCAGGGTCTGGAGGCGGTGAGGAGGCGCGGGCGACAGCGCAGCGGAGACGGAGGAGACTCTCGCAGGAGCTGGCACGAGGAGAGCAGCTTCGAGAAGCAGCTGAAGCGCAGGAGCTGCCAGATAGACGGCATGACGGACAGCCGGTCCCGAGAGGAGATGGGCACGAGGAGCAGCCAGTCCAGCTTCTCCGGCAGCTTGGAAATCATCGAGGTCTCCTGAGGGCTCCACACGCAGTCATTTATTTCTTTGCTTTGTTCTCATTCAGATTTGAACTCCGCACAGACACATGCATGAAGGTGGAGAGTCTCACAATTCAAATTAAGGCAAGACACTACAGATAAACAGGGCAGACCTTAACCCCATAAGTGGCCCATTTTTGAACAATAAAAATAACTAGTTAACCCTAATATACAGTCAAACCAAAATTTATTCAGACACCTTGAACAGTCCTCTCATTATCACAGTTTATTTGCTATAGTTTAGAAAATGGTAATAAAATATGACTCTGTGTCAGAACAAACTCATCTTGATAATGTCAGATAATTTTGATAGAAAGGTATGTAATGAATTCAGCTGTTAAATTTAAGTACACAATTAGATAATACCAATCTAGCTCAACCGGTTACCAAGCAATGCTTCATTTAGTTTAGTCTGTGGTGTAAAAGATCACATTAGCAATTAAAGAAAAAACAGTTGAGCAAAACATGCTCAGGTCAAAGTGACTGAATCATTTTTGATCCCAAATTGTACTGTTAGTCCACTGTATGAAGAGTTTTTGGGTATAATATGTCACATGCCACAGTTCACTTTATTTTGCTCTCCTCACTTACATAAATGAACTATAGTGTCCTGCACCCACTAGTAAAAAAATATAAAAAAATATATCTGGAGTCTGAATAATTTTTGGTTTGACTGTACATCACCAGCTGATTGATAACATTAAGAATTACAAGTATTAAATATATAGATTTAAAAATATGCATAATTATTTAATTTATATGCATAATTCAATGTCAGAATTAGTTAAAATGCAATAAAATAAACACTTAAATGTGTATTTTGGATGTTTTTTAATCCACTAGTCTGAAAGAAGAAGCAAAATAGAGCTCAAAACTGAGCAGTGCATTAAAACGCCTGTAGTGTCTTGCCTTAAGAGCCTCTTTTTGACATGCATGTGTTGAATTATGATCTCAGGAAGTTGCGAATCTGTTGGAGATCTAGAATCAAGCACACACACACACACAGACACACACACACACACATACGCACACACACACACACACTCACACACACACACACACACACACACACACACACACAGACACACGGACACACACACACACACAGACACACACACACTCTGTTTCTCTGATTCACTGATGCTGCATCCAAAACCCTTGAACCTCCAGCAGCTTCTTCACACGAGATGTCAGACCTGATGAGACACAGACGAGAAACACTTCATTAGTCTGAGCACTTTACAGCCAGAAACCCTCTCTTCTTCATTGGTGCTTTAGTGCGGAACAAACGATCCTGAACAGTGTTGATGTTCATAGACTCATACTGAGCTGTGCAGGTTTATTGTGCAGGTTTACCTTCTTAAAGGCTCGCCAGAGGTCATGAACTTGTTCCTCGGATCACCGGTCATCAGCATTGAATCGTCTGTTCCAGGATCAGCTGTCGAGCGCCATAAAGACTCCTTCAGACCGTCCTCTTCACGCTGAAACCCTCTTCCTCTGATCTGCGTTTGATGACTTTGAACAGAAGGACAGAGTCAGAGTTTCCTAAAGCTGTGAAAATTGAGCTGAAGACAGAACGAATCACTGAATCACGAGTCTCTGAATCACATTCGACATGCTTTTACACAGGCCTCAAATCTACAGTGATCAATGTTTTATATTTTTACAATAAAGTCAAATGACTGATATAATCATTCCTTAAGTCAGATCAACCATTATTTTTGTGATTCGTGTCTGGGATGGTACCGCTGTGAGATGAACGAGAGCGTTTCTGGATATATTAATCAGTAGCTGTTTATTAATTGTTGAAATAAAACACAAGTGGTACTTGAACATCTTCAGCTGTCTCCATTGAAACAGTAAGGCGTTTAGAGCTGATCTTCATCTGGATCCATAGGTGGCGCTGTGACACACTCGTGCGTGAATACATTATAATATACACTTAATAATATATAAAACACCATTTTACTGTATCCACTTTATTTCGCAGACTGTGTGAGACTTTTGTTTCATTAACCACTGTTGGTAAATAACTACGATTAAAACTAGGTAAACTCTAAAAACTATTTGCGCCACAAACCAGTGTGTTTATGATTATGATAATAAATCGTATGATAACAAATACCAGTTTGTAATCTCAAGTGACATAACGGACTGTTTTTGTGAAGCTAAAATAACAACGCAAATAACAATGGGTGTGGATTGTGATTGGACCGCAGATGATCACATGATCATTTTCTCCTCATGGAAATGGATTTTTAACAATTAAGTTGCTGACAAACCTGTTGGTCTGAGCGCTGAGGTTGTTAATCGTTTGTATGCACATTTTTCGAATCCATCAGTTCGCATGGTAGAAAAACTACATTTCCCAAGATGCTGTACAGAAGAACCCACCAATCAGCGAGCAAAGCACTCCAAAAGCGATCTTTAGCTCCGCCCGATTTAATATTTATAGCTCCGCCCACTTCGAACGAAGCACTCCAAATTATGTAATCGAGTCGGTCTCCCTACGTCATAGACTGTATAAAAACATGGACGTAGTGTCCGTGACATCACCCATAGGTTTCCGAAGAGTGTTTTTGAAGCTCAAAAGTGGGCGGAGCCGGCCGTCGCCATCTTGGCAGCGCGTCACCGCGCGTCACTCCCGGATAATCGAAAATGGGCAAAGAGGCGGGAGCTGGTTGGTGAAGCCACGCCCACCTAGCTCGACGGTGGTACTTTCATAGTCTTGTCTTTTTGTCCGAGTTATTTGAAATCATTGTTTGTAATGTTGTGATTCTCCTAGTAGCTGGTTAATTTGATTCATGGCTTATAATGCTTTAATGAACAATTTTTGGGACTCAATGGCAAGAATTGATGTGAAAAATACGCACGGAATTACAGCAGCCGGTGTGTGTCGCCCTCTAGCGGTGCAGATGCGCTACAGCATCATCAACATGTGCGCACACGTCACGTTTAAGAGTTCAGAGCTTTATTCCTTTCCCAACTGTGTATTATTTATCAATGTGAATTTACTTGACTTACACACCCAAACGTATTTTATAGCTTCATAATTGAATAATTAAGAAGATAATAAACGCCGCTGTTGCAGATGCGTTTTATGTTTGTGTCCAGCAGGCGGCAGTAACGCGCAAAACAGCTCTTCTGGCGCGATTCGCTTTCTCTGAAGAATCATGGGTAATGTAGTTTTTCACCAGGAATACATCTCACCACGATGATATTTTTGTAATTCTGAATCTGAAACTCTCGCATATTTATTCTATAATTACACTTCTTCTAAAGATTTTTGGAAGCAGGTGTCGTTGATGATTTTTGATACATTCTACAAAGTTATTAAAACACACGAATCTATAATTTTGGACTGTAATACTGGCTCAAGGTAATAATTCATCCTGGGGCGTTTAAGCTACAGTAATGTCTATTACACCCTAATTAATTTTATTTTTCTGTAAAGATCTTACAAATATTTTATGACTCATTGAATTCAATAACAAGAAATAAGAAGTGTATAAAATATATTTTATATTAAAATAAATAATTTGCAGAATCTAATAGTTTACCATGTATTATGTAGGTAAGTAAGGTGTTATCCCACATTTCTGTTTGACTTGTATGCATTGCATGTTCTTTTAAAGTTAAATTAAATAAAAAAATAAAAGACCGGGCTATTATTGACGGCTCTGAGTGACCAATAAAAACGCTTCCAGTAAGACCCGCCCCTCGGAAGAGGATTGACGTCAGGATTCCCCGCCCTTCCGCTTCCTCTTTCACAGCGGCCGTCAGCGAGAGACACCATGAAGGCGTCTGGCACAGTACGTAAAATCCTTTTTACTCACTTCACAGTCGCTCAAACCTCATAGCTGTAACCCGAAAACACACATAAGGCACTAAACTATCCATAACAGTGACTTTACCCGACACACGTTTAGGATTGAAGCGCTAGATTTGCGTTGACGTGTTGATTGTAGCGGAGAGAGAAACATGGCGGCTGTAGAATGGCTCCATGTGCTCATCATTGAACACACACTCATAGCACATCTCAGGATTTTGAGTTAGTTTGCGGTCTAACGCACTCTCAAGGTACTTATTCTCACATTTTCGCCAGTGTTGTTAAAGTTAAGTGCTTGAAGTCCGCGGTTGTCTACCACAGGCTTTGTTTTCTGAGCGTTAATCCCAATCAGTTCTCACGAAGCGCCGGTATTCTAGCCTGGTGTAGTGTTGATATGATTATTTAGTGCGCTTTTAAGTAAATGTGAATCAAGTATAAGTAAATCTAGATCAGGCAAACATGCTCCTTCCCGCAGGGTTTAAGTAGTAAACTTTGAACATGTTAACTTGCTGCTAAAAGTGTCAGCAAAAGAGAAACCTCAGCGAAATAGACACCAATTGTATATACCTAATAATCCATAGAAAACAGGGTAAAAAAAATTACAACTTTTCACTTAGAAACTGCAAATAAGTTAAGTTCAAAATACTTTGTGTCATGCCCTTGCCATGTGTGCGGAAAGAAATACCGAACCTTGTCGCCTTTCATAGGCTGTAAAATGTGCCGCTGAAAGTGAAATCAAGGTGCGACATGTGATCCTGCTGCACGAGCGATGCTGCTGTTACTCTATAGGGCCTTTCGCACCACTTTAATTTCTGAACTAAAGTACTGGGACTCGAATCACAAGCTTGTGAATGAGAATCGAATCGTGAAATTTGTGTCCAAACCCAGCCCTAGCCATTCCCCTTTCTGGGACTGAGGGGGTTGGTTCCCTTTATATTGGTTCTTTTTAGAAATCGATTCCGAGCCGCTAGTAATGAAAGCAGCAAGCACAGAGCTTTTCCTGTTACTTTGAGATGCTACAATAGTGCGTTTAATGTAGTCGAGCTGTAACTCGTGAGCTTTTTTCCTGTTTCTGAGACGACATGCCTGGAGGTTAACCGCTTGTTTGTTTCCATATTGTGTTCCTGCACAGGTCCATGAGCAATCGCCCCTCAAGGTGAAGAACTTCGGCATCTGGCTGCGTTACGACTCTCGCAGTGGGACCCACAACATGTACCGCGAGTACAGAGACCTGACCACGTCTGGAGCCGTCACTCAGTGCTGTGAGTATCACAAACACACTCGTTCAGCATGCACACACAAACCCAAAGGTCATTTCCTCCCAGTGTCATGCCCTTGCCATGTGTGCACAAAGAAAAACCGAACCTTGTCGCCTTTCATAGGCTGTCAAACGTGCCGCTGAAAGTGAAATCAAGGTGCGACATGTGACCCTGCTGCACGAGCGATGCTGTTCTGTGTTTGAACTCTGTAGTAAATGTCATGTATTTGATTTGTGCTTCAGATCGTGATATGGGTGCCAGGCATCGCGCCCGCGCTCACGCCATCCAGATCATGAAGGTGCAGATCATCGCAGCCAACAAATGCCGCAGACCCGCCATCAAGCAGTTCCACGTGAGTTTGCATGTTCAAATAATGCTTATGAGAATCTTTTATCAAATGCACATTGATGCAACCATTATAACCGAGCTGTTTAAACTTGCATCTAAAGGCTTTCATGTTGTTTCTCGATTCAACAGGACTCCAAGATCAAGTTCCCTCTTCCTCACAGGGTTCTGCGCCGCCAGCACAAGCCCCGTTTCACCACCAAGAGACCAAACACTTTCTTTTAAAGTGTATGTTTGTGCTTTTCACATCACAGACGAATAAAAGAGAAAATCAAGTCTTGTTGTTGCGTGGTTTTTAATTGACTCGAAGTCCTGGACAGATTGGTCAGATCTTTAAAGAATATCTCTTTAGGATATAGGGGGAAATTTTGCAAAAATAACACATTTTTAGGACCAAAAAAACTTGCATTGTGATGTTTGTGACATAGCATGTGATTAAAATAATATATATTTTTATTTAGCTGATTATACATTTTAGTCACTTTCAATATGCAGCAATAATCTGATCATTGAGAATATATCTTTTTTTCATTTTACAATGAGTTTTTGTGTGGAGGATGCATAATTGTAATGTCACAGTGCAAAATATTCTAATGCCTAATGGGCTTTAAAGCTAACAATAGTAAGTGTAATATAAGAGTGTATTACTCTGCTAATGAAGTAGCTATGGAGTTTGATTGGTTTGCCCTTTTGAAATCCGTTTTCATAGAATTTCTCTTCAAATCAGCAGTAAATATAGCTGAGCATTGGCAGGTGTTTATAAATCCACCAGTCCTTTTTTCATACATTTACCCAATCAAATTTAGAAATATTTAAAATAAATTTTAAACTATTTAAAAATAAAAAATCTGGCAGCTGCGTTTCTCAGTCGCCGCCACAAGAGGGCAGAGTTTGACCACGAACTGCGTTTTAAATTCTGTCATGCGCAGTATTAACATATAATAGTGAATATACAAAAACAGTATATGATAATTATGCACTTATTGTGACATTCCCGATCTCAAAGCCGGTATTATCTGTAGATATCATCGATTTCTTTGGCAGAGTTACAGTTTATTCAGATAAATGAACTTCAGGTGTGTTTGATTACTCATGGAGCTGAACTCTACAGGGCTGTAGTTTTAATCAGAGGCACTACATTACGACAAAAAATTTTTTTTTTGAAAAAGGCTTCAACATTGTGCCAAATGGCGTCATTCTCAGGTAAGGAACTTATTGCTGTTTGTCTGTTGCTGCTATGATTTTAACTTCTTGTGGGTGGTTGCCAAGGTGTTCTTTTTGGTTGCTAGGATGTTATTGGTCGTCGCTTTCTGGCTCAAGTCAAATACAAAGTCTGAAAAACCAGGTACGTAAACTTCATGCGAATATCACATAAAATGCTGGATAGAACCAAAGACTATAGCATACCCTTTAGCCTTAAAGGGACTTTGGTAGAACACAAAGATGTGAATGAAAACAACTCAAAACTTGAGGTGGATACATTGAATTATTTGGGTAGTAAAAAAATGGAAAATATTTCCAGATGAATTCGTCACGTGGCTAAATAATTTAAGTGAATTATTATAAATAGCACTTGCATAAAACTCTTACTAATTCTGCTAGCTATGTAACGATATGCATACGAATTTCACAATTTTAATTTCCTCGTTCACCACACGGACTTTAAAGCGATAAAAAATAACGATAAAAATAAAGTTTTAAAAACCGTTTAATCCTATTAGGATAGGGAAGTTCAGACCACAACTATACGGTAACTACGGTCTTTGTCAGGTGACGTCACAATCACGAGAATCGAAGTGCATTTTGGGTATCTCCGCCATTTGTAGGGTATCAAAGCCGAGGTGTTCTGTAGTTGGAGAATTGTCTTTTTTATTTGATTTAAAATGGTACGTTCTTGTTGTGTTAAAGTCTGCAATAGTGAATTACATGATAGAAAAGGTCACATAATAAACGCACGTGACTGACAAAGACCGATTGTTGGAAATCACTTTTCAAAATGATTTTTCTTTCATCTGATGAACGATACAAATATTGACAGCCAATCAGAGTTCAAAGAACGCATCGGTGTGGACGCTAATAAAGTTATAGTTCTTGATAATAATAGTGATGCTTTCCTCAGTGAGCACTACTAATGAGGTTTATTTCATTAGGTGCGTCACAAATCGCGTACTTACGCACTAGTCTATGACGTTCTGTAGTAGGCTATAAATAGTGCGAGTAGTGTGTTCACACTGAAAATTCCAAAAATACAAAGTGCGCTTTAAATACCCGGATGATGCACTTAACCGAAAAAACGTGTGGAATGTTGGAGTCGGACACTTCAATTACGTACCGAAGGGGGAGGGGCTATCAGACTCCGATTATGAATGACAAAAATAACCTTATATATTAATTCATACACTACATGGTTGAGTACATAGTGCATAAGTACATAGTGTATAGTGTGTCATTTGGAACTCAGCTATTTTTTAATAAGAAGCTAATTGTTAGCCGGTGGGCGGAGCCTGTGAGTGACTCTTCTGGGCGTGTCACACAGTCACTCACCTGCTGCTGCAGAAGCATGAAGGGGATTTATTGATATATTGATAGGTGACTCTGTGGGTTTGGCAGGTTCATTTGTGGGCTGCGTGTCCATTTCCTGCAGGGATGACACTTTCCAGGAAGTGTCCAGCACCCAAACCTCAAGCCACATATTCCACAGGCAGCACATAAAGCTCTGGGTTCAGACGTTTACTGGCAGGTAGAGCGAGTCTCAGCCCGGTGAAGGCCTCTGTGTGTGTTTATGTGTTTTATGAGGGGAAAAGTGGAAGGTCACAAATCTGATTCTCTGCAGGATCATCCAGCGAGGACGACTGAGGTCAAACCAGTCTGCACACACAAATAATGAAAATACCTAGATGTGTGTGCTTTTTTTTTTTTTTACAGTCATTCCAGGATCAAAAATTATATTTTTATGGGAAAATTAAGGTTTTTAAAGAACTATGCAGTGATAAACGTCAAGCAACCATATGCTTCAATATTTTCACATGACAGCACTGTGTTACAATGAAAGCAAGTGGCTCACCATTATAAATAAATAAATAAACATAATAAAATTCAAAATAAAATAAAAAAAATCAACATGCACTCACAATAAAACTATATAAATTATAATAAATATTTAATACAGTCATCTAAGAATCAAAAGGAAAAAATAAATACATTATATTTTATTATAAAAAATTATAATACATTTTACACACTTTTAAAACTTAAAAGTTTATTTATATACCCTGTGTATAATTTGAATACATTTGTCCCAGAATCAAAAGGGGGAAAAATGAATAAATATAATATTTATATATAATTAGATTTTATTATATAAAATTATAATAAATTATATACACTTAAATCAACAAGTGGGCCACCTTTATAAAAAGAAATAATATATATAATTTATAAAATGATAGAAAATGAAATTTGAAGTCATCCAATCAAAAGGGGGAAAAATAAATTATATTTTATTAAAATATGATATTATAATAGGTTATGTACACTTAATTCAGCAAGTGGCCCATATAAAAAAAAAAATATATATATATATACACACACACACACACACACACATATACTCTCTCACACACATATATATAATTTGAATAGTCAATATAGTCAAAAGGGGGAAAATTATATTGTATTAAAATATAATAAATTATATAAATTTTTAAATCGGCAAGATATAATGTATATAATTATGAATTACATTTGAATAATTGCATCAATAATTGCAGAATTGTATGACTCACAATAAGAATATGTATTAAGAAAGTAATAAAGTCCATTTTGATTACATGTGGACTTTAATAACAGTTTAACCCCAATTTGTTGTTTGCCTCTTCTGCATTGAGCTGTCCTGAGTAGAGTAAAACACACAGTTCTCCCACACACTACCTGAGTCAGCAGCTCACGGCCCACGGCAGCCAATTTGATTGATTGGACTGAGAGTTTCCACATTCAGGACACAGGGAGAGTTTCACAGGATGTGCAGTAAAACGCAGAGAGCCATGTCAAAACCTCCCGCTGCGGTAGTGCTTCAACACTTGGTCCAAGCAAACACTTAAAGTATAATGTTTTTGAGACACAGGCCGGCTACTGAAAACCTGCCATGAATGACTGGCCTCACACACGGATCTAAAAAGAGAGAAAATCAACATGGGAAAGAGAAAAAAAATCATTAAATAGAACATTTCATGCTGAAGTATCAGAACAGATGACTGTAGTATGCAGTATATACTGTATGCTGAGTATGGGAATGTTCTGTATGCACAGAATACACAGATTATCTATTTACAGTATAACACCGTCAACAAATTCCATTTACCTGGAGTATTTATCCATTAGCATCTGAATAGCTGTCATTCATTTGGCTCACAACAGAAATCTGACACACTTTACACACTGTACAGAATATGGAATCCCACAATGCATGTGCTCAACTTTCACGTTATATGGAAGCTTGTTCCGCCATGGGCTAAAAAAATACAACACAGAACTGAAAAAATGTCAGAATTTTGACACAAGCAATTATCTTAAAAAAAAAAAAGTCAAAATTGTCAATTGGAAAAAGTCAGAATTGCGGGACATAAACTCAGAATTCTGAGACGAAAGATTGGAACTGCGAGATGTAAACTCAGAATTCCAAGAAAAAAAGTCGGAATTGCAAGATACAAACTCAGAATTCCGAGACAAAATGTTGGAATTGCGAGACGCAAACTCAGAATTCCAAGAAAAATTTAGCAACTGTGAGATGTAAACAGAATTCAGAGGGGGAAAAAGTCAGAATTTTAAGATGTAAACTCAGAATTCCCGGGGAAAAAAAGTCAGAATTGCCAGATGCATGCTCAGAATTTCAAGGAAAATAAGTTGTAATTGCGAGATGCAAACTTAGAATTTTTTTTGCAACTGCGAGATATAAACAGAATTCAGAAAACAAAAAAAGGCAGAATTGAGATGTAAACTCAGAATTCCAAGAAAAAAAGTCGGAATTATGAGAGAAAAATGTGCAATTACCTTTTTTATTTTTTATTCTGTGACAGAAACAGACATCATTTTCCTTCTTATAAATGAACCAAAAGTGAAAAACAGTCTTGTTCTAAACTTATTTTGATAAGATTGTCAAATGTTAAGATGAAAAAATGCAAAGAATATAATGCAAACTAATCATTTTTGTTAGATGATAAGTAGTCTCCCGTAGCCTGACCTTCAGACTGATGGCAGAAGGTTTAGGAACCTTGGC